GGACGATGACTGGATTAGAATATCGTCCAGGTAGCACTGGACTCTGACTGGTACGTTTCTTAGGTGTGCTGCCAGAACCGCCAGAATCTTGGTGAACGCCCTGGGCGCTGATGACAGGCCGAATGGAAGTGCCCTGTATTGAAAATGGTGCCCCCTGTAGGCAAACCGTAGAAAGCGGCGGTGAGCCAGAGAGATAGGGATGTGCAAGTATGCCTCCGTGAGGTCGATCGATGCCAGAAAATCCCCTTTCCTTACGCTTCCAAGGATGGAGCGTAGTGTCTGCATTTTGAATTTGCGGTATTTTATGTAGAAATTTAGCCTTTTTAAATCCAGAACGGCTCTCCAACCCCCCGAGGGTTTTGGGACCACGAAGAGGATAGAATAAAACCCCTGGTCTCTCTGGTTCATAGGCACCGGCTCTACGGCCCGTATGTTTAGAAGGTGCTGAACATGAGCCTTCTCTTTGTTGGGTTTGTGGGACAGGGGCACGGGCGGAAGCGGTTCGGAGGCTTTGAGAGAAATTCTAGAGATAGACCATGACGTATGGTGTTCTTGACCCATACGTCCGTGGTGGTCTCTTCCCACTGGGGAGCAAACCCTGCTAGTCTGCCCCCTATGGGAAGGTCTGGGTGGGAGTCATCTGGTACGGCGGAAGGGGCGGTTGTTCCCCCGAAAGGGCCGTCTTCCCTGCGTTTGCCTATGTCTTGTGTTCTGTCTGTCCCCCTGTCTTTCCCTATCCTGTCTAGCTTGGAAGGGTTGGGAATTTTGAAAGTAGTTGACCCTGGCTTCCGTACGAAAGGATTATTTCCTTCCCCAGGAGCCAGGTCTCTTGTCCTGCCTTTTAAGCATGTGTTTAAGGACCTTGCACTTGTCCTTGTTCTCTGTCAGGTATGGCGTTAGTGCCTCACCAAACAGCTTTGCCCCTTGGTACGGAGCCGAAGCCAATTTCCACTTGGATTTGGTATCCGCCTGCCAGTTCTTTAGCCAGAGGATGCGCCTGCTCGTGTTGTTTGCCGCCATTGCCTTGGCTGAAAACCTGGTCGCTAAAAGTGTCGCGTCCGACGCATATTCCGTGGCTGCTACCATTTTGCTGAGTTCCTGGTGAGTGCGTATATCCTCCATGGGAACCCGGCCCTGTAACTCACGGAGCCAACAAAGTGTGGCTCTGGTGAAAAAGGACGCGGAGGTAGTCGCCCTGGTAGCCCAAGCTATTGCCTGGTGCGTTCTCCTGTAGTTGGACTCACTCTTTCGGTCCTCGGCTTTAAGAGCCTCAGCAAAATCTCCTGATATGGCCGTGTCCGATATCAGGGGACCTATGGGTTCGTCCACCACCGGCACCTCCAATGTTCCCTCTAGCTCCCTTGCTACGTTAAATAGCTTCCTCTCCGCATTGCTAGGAAGCGGTAGGGAGGTTGGCGCTGCCCACTGTTTCCTTATTGTGTTTAGGAACATGGTCGGGCATGGTATGCGGTGTTGAGTGGTTACCTTTTCGGCGAACGTCGGCTCAGCCTCCGTGTCAACTGTGACAGGCTCCGCTGGTGTCCCATGCCCCAGATGGGCTGTGGCCTCAGCCTTGCGCAGAATGGTAACAAAAAGAGAAGGGTTAAACAGGCCGCTGAAGGACGGCCCTTGAGGTGAGGTGTCCTCCTCTTCCTCAGACATTTGAATCCCTTGTGACGTACCTGGCTGGTCCAGGTAATCTTCCTCGGAGACCGACGAGTCTGAGAAGGAGGAGAGGTCCTGATGGTCCTCCGTTTCCTCCCGATGCCTCGTTCTAAGTCCTAGAGGCTTGGCTTTGGAAGTTTGAGCCCTGGCCTCAAATGCACGGTCCACTGCCTGTGCTATTAGGGTAGCTAGCAGATCCCCTGTCAATGCAGGAGGAGTAACCATTGCCTGCGACCCTGCAGGTGCTGTGGTTCGCATGGTCCTCGGGGTTTCCTGTAACCTCCATGGGGAGGGGGATCGGAAGAGCGATGAGAATTCGCCTATCCCACCCTCTGTTTGGGACTGTGATGAGTTCCCTAATGACCAAATGGCCCGTGGGGATGAAGGGAGACCCAGCGGTAGATCAGGACCTATCCCCCCATTCTGCCTATTTTCGATTCTGGCCCTTTTCTGGGCTCTGTCGAACTCTTTTTCTAGGGCTTGGTGTCTTCTGATTGCCTGCTTGTCAGCCTTCTTTGATGACTTCCTTGCAGCCTTTCTAGGGGCTGCAGAGGATTCCGAATCCTCTGAAGCGGGTGCTCCAGAGGATGAAGGCAGGGCTCCACTGGAGGGAATGATTGCTTCCTCCATTCTCCACTAACGCCGGGCCGCGATAGGGGGACCCAGGTAGTAGGAGAGCTCCAACTTTGAGTAAGGACAGGCGCACTACTGGGGGCGTCTGGAACTCAGGAGCAGACTCTGCAAAATTGTCAGAGTTAGTCACTGTGCACGGATAAGAACAGGCACACTAATGGGAATGCCTGGAACCCGGCTTGACTATGGTGGGTAAGAACAGGCACGCGACTGGGGATGCCTGGAACCCACCACTAAATCCAGAAGCGTACGGGCCACTAATGGGGGACCCGAAGTCCGGAAGGAGCCAAAGGCAACTAAACACAGTTAGTTATGAAAGGTTCTTATTTACTTTAGATTGAAGACACCAAGTCCTGGAACCAGCCGCTATGTGTCTGATTTGAATGTCTCTGAATGAATAGTAGATGCTTTAGTACCCTAGTACTGCTTGCCTATTAATTCACTCCAGCGGCTGAACCTAGGCTTCTCAGGGAGCCTTAGATCCCCTGTTTGGACAAAAGTATGGCCGCCACTGCCAGGAGACTACTGCGCATGTGTTAAAAGGAGCAGGAGATTATTGCGCCTGTGCTAAAAAGGCTGCCTGTGCCACGTGCGGTTGTAACAAAGAGCCGCGCGTGCTCCCAGCTGTGCAGACAATGGCGCCTCGTTTAAAAATCCTGAGCAGCCTGGTGAGTGAAAGAGACTGCTCCTTCGCACGCCAGCTGTTTCCCTTAATCAATCTCCCTCCCAGCATGCGTCCCCTTTGTCCTCCGCTCCCCTCGCTAATTGCTTGCCGTTCTGTCTTTCTTTCTTTTTAACGCGAGGGGTTGCACGAGCCTCCCCGTTTGTTTAAGGCGGCTGCCGGCTGCCCCGGCTGTGGGAAGGTGGTTGGTGTTTGGGTTAGGGAGGGGAGTTAGGGATTTCCCCCTTTTAAGTGAGGGTGGTTTCCTCTGTAGGGAATCTGACTTCCTGAGTCTTACAATTTAGCCAGGAAATTTTTGAGTAGTCAATTAAATTGAATTAAATTATCTCTAATTAACTTTTAAACTAAGCAATTTCAGCTACTAGAAGAAAATCCCCCCAATGGAAAGGAACTATACCTGCCCAGGAGCCAAAGTTGTACGTCTTTCTGTGTGGCCAGATCAGTCAAGACTGGAGAATCATGGTCCAGGACGGGCGTGGCAACTTTGGCTGACTGATCTGATTGGCCAGGAATACAGTCTCAACCCACTGCATGGATTATCCATCTCCAGTGCTGGAGAATAAATGATCTCTTTTCGAATTAACAAGTACTTTAAGGACTGAGCAATAATAGTTATTCAAAATATTTCTTGGTGTACTCATCATCAACCCTTCAAAACTAAAACAGAAATAGTAATGCTTATAGATACTATTAAGGCTGGCATAAAGCACAACTGATTTAATTGCAAACTATTTTTAAATTTGTTGATCACTACTAACCTTTTATGAAAGTAATCTTATGCATATAATAATAATAATAATAATAATAATAATAATAATAATAATAATAATAATAATAATAAAGTTGCAAGGGACCTTGGAGGTTGTCTAGTCCAACTCCCTGCTCAGGCAGAAAACCCTATACCATTATGGACAAATGGCTGTCCAGTCTCTTCTTAAAAACTCCCAGTGTTGGAGCATTCACCGCTTCTGGAGGCAGGTTGTTCCACTGGTTAATTGTTCTAACTGTCAGGAAGTTTCTCCTTAGTTCTAGGTTGCTTCTCTCCTTGATTAGTTTCCATCCATTGGACACTATATTTTTATATTGCATTCTGTCTTAATAAAGATCTCCAGTATCACAAAGCCAAATAAAATGATAGAATTAAATAATATAGCTAAAATCAAGATAATATGATTCAGATGGACTAAAACTGCTATCAGCATCAATCAGGAGAGCCAACAAACAAGATCCGGCCCGATCCGGCCCGTTCCGAGCCTCCCCAGCTAGCCCCACTCACGAGTCCGCCGATCCTGGCTGCCTCTCTCAGTTCTAATCGCTGCCATGCAAAGGGAAGAAGAGGGGATTCCTTTTTTCTGTTTTCATTCGTTTGGTTCTGAGAGCTGCCTCTCGCACTTGTACCAGGCTTCGAGACTGAGTCAAAACTGGGGTCACGCCCAAAGGAAGGGGTGTGGCCGAAGTTTTTACCCAGTCTGCCAGGCAGGAAGGCCGTCATAGAACCCATCCATTTGGACTCTACAGTCATCCTGCTGGAGAATGCAAACACCTTATCCATGTATCGAAGTATTAATTACTATACTTAATAAGGTTTTATATGAATACAATATCTAATAAAGTAATCAAGAATGTCATCTAGTTCAGTTATTTATTTTGAAAGGGGATATCAAAAGTGGAGAAAGTAATTAAGCTTAAATCCTTCTCTTATGGGAAATTTCTATTTCCCCTCCTGTTTTTGATAAATTCTATAAATTTATCATTTATCATTTAAGGGTTATGGCAACTCCAAAGGCTATTTTCAAAATTGTTTGTAAGTTTCCACATATCTTTGTTAGTGTGAAAACTCCCAACTTCAATTTTATACCCAAGTACCATACTAAAACAATTGTTTGTGCTATGCTTTCTGATGGGAAAGAAATAATGCCATTACTCACCATGATTTATCATTTATAAATGACAGTGGCAGAAAAATGGAACAGCAGAATAGAATCTGGTTGAATGTAACATAATGTACAAAGCATCTCACCTTACGAGGTGGTGGCCCATGATCATCTAAGTAAGTGGAATTTCCTAGAAACAAAGAAAAAAGAAACAGAGCATTAAAGGCCCTCGTGACAGGGCCACTCTTCCTGATTGCCTGTGACTGCCTTGACTGTTCCGCCCTCTCTTTTTTGCACTCTAACATTGTATTTTTCTGCTTTGTCATCCTTGTGCTGTCTCCCCCTCCCTGCGCTGTTATCATTAACACACTCCCCAATCCCTCCTCCTTACCCAATGCAAGGTGCCTCCTCCGATTAATCAACAGGTGGGAGGGTTGAAGGAAGGATGACAGGAATAGATAACAAATGGTGTATGAATCGGCAGGCTGGGAGAGGAGGGGGGTTGGAGGAGGGAGTTGAAATAGGAACTGGCAATGGTATGCAAAAATGGCAGGCAGATCAGCAGCCCAACAGGATTCGTGTAGTGCCGAATCGGAGGAGGCACCTTGCATTGGGTAAGGAGGAGGGATTGGGGAGTGTGTTAATGATAACAGCGCAGGGAGGGGGAGACAGCACAAGGATGACAAAGCAGAAAAATACAAGAGCAATCATCCAGTGGCCTATAAAGTTAGTTGTATTAGAGCCCTGTTTAAACGGGTGGAATCCCACTGTAGTACTGCCAGAGCAAAAATAGAAGAAAGAAACCATCTCTTTCATATATGCAAGCGCAATGGATATCCAACAAGGTTCATTAGGCGCTATAGTGTGCCACCTGAACCTCGAAGGGATCCATGTACAAATGAACCGACACCACAGACGACGCTGGTTACCCTCCCCTATATCTGCAACGTCTCTGAGGCAACTGCTAGATTACTAGCACCATACAATGTTAAGGTAGCCCATAGACCCAATCAGATGCTACGTGCCGCAATCATGCGCCCCAAGGACCCACTCCCCACCATGGATAAGTCAGCAGTCGTCTACAGAATTGACTGTGAGGACTGCCCCAGTAACTATGTTGGGGAGACCGCCAAGAGAGTAAGAACCAGGGTCCATGAACACAAATTAGCAGTAAAAAGGGGAGAACAATACTCTCAGATTGCGGCACATATGACTGAATCAGGCCACCGATTTGACTTTGAAAACGTAAATGTCTTGGCCAGTGACAATATGAAAGGGGGCCGCTTACTTAAAGAGGCATGGCTATCCAATAAGGACTCAATTAATTGGCATATCGATCTTTGCCCAGCCCACTTAACGTTGAGAGCTTGGAGCATGGGTAATCCCCCACCCCACTGGAGACAACCTAAGGAAACACCGAATATATCAACGGAGAGGATTATAGAGAAGACTTCCCCCTCTTACCATCCACAGCCCAGGAGTATCCAGACGGAATGCAAACAACGATTGAGACCCTCCCAAAACGGTCAGACATCTATGAGCATCTGAAGGAGCGTCGAGAGACGCAGGAACATCAACGTGTGGATTAGGGGTTTGCACACACACACCGGGATATCCGGAGGGGAGAGCATCGCCTAATAAGAGATCCATATTTAAAACACCCTTCACGGGGGAATTGAATTGCCTGCCGTATTTGGGAGGGGAAAGGGTAGCCTCTCCAGCCCCACTGCCTGTAACAACTCGATCACCCCGTTTAGCAGTACCGACCCGAATGCACCAACAGGAAGTGTGGAGTGATCCCGATGAAGATGCACAGGGGAGGAACACCAAGAGTGGAGGGGAGAGAGCACTGAAGGCTGATGCTCCTGATTGTCGTATAGAGAACATCCAGGGCGAGTTAGTTAAAACTAGGATGAAATGTATAAAGATCAGAGATAAAGAGAGGAGACGCCTAGGAGCAACAACTACCAGATCGTACTCGAAAAGGGGAGAAATAGCCTCATTAGCATGTTTGGTGAATACGACCCGCCCACCCCACCTCGCAATGCCGATCTGCCCGTATCAACAGGCAACACAGGAGAACCCTCAAGACGGCACCGTGCAAGCAAGGAGCAAGGAGGAAACAGGGGGTGTGATAGCAATTAACTTGAATAACATCTGCGGAGACCATGATTGGAGAAAACACAAAGAAAATAAGAGACAGTGCATTGCAACGGGGCAATCAGAACGGAGTGGGGAAGGGGGGGATGGAAGTGTGCAACTAAACAAAGTGGGTGTGGCAATAAAGCAAAAAAAGAGGGGGGACGTTCCATCAAACCCCGAATTTGGCAAAGAGAAAACACCCAATGACATTTACACAAGCAACAAATGCAAGAAAGCCATTATTGCTAATAAGAAACCGGCAACCAGGAAACAGCCTATCCCATCAGGCCCAATGACAAGATCTAGGAGCCGGGTGCAGACTCTGGCCAATCTATAAAGAGGACTCTCCTACTGACCGGCATTTTGAGCCCTGATGATGTCAGCAGTTGCTGACGAAAGCTAAGCGTTTTATTGGTTTTATTGTAATTTTATTGACATTTTACTAAATTTTATTAAACTTTTTAGCACTCCCTGGTGCTCACATTTATTTGTTTGGTTTTAAATATGGATATACCCAGGGATCATATTTTTAGTGTAATTGTTAACACACACACACACACACACACACACATATATATTAATAATAGTGAAAATAAAAACGTAATTCCTGGGTGAATCCATAGTCAATTACCAATAAAATGTGAACACCAGGAATATAATAAACTATAAAAGTTTAATACCATCACTGATCACCAAGCTTTCGTCAGATACTTCTGACATCATCAGGACCCCATGGAGTCCCCAATCTCTAGTATCATAGCGGAGGCTGTGCTGCAACAACTAGAGCACGTAGCGATGGCCCAATACCAACCTAAATTCTGGGCCCACTACGTTGATGACACATTCGTGGTCATCAAAAGGGAACATAAAGCTAACTTTGTGGGCATACTCAACTCGGTATACCCTGACATTCAGTTCACGGAGGAGGAGAACCAGGGGAGACTGGCGTTCTTGGACGTAATGGTCCACCGCCAGCCAGATGGGACCCTGAGCATGAGGGTATACTGAAAGCCTACGCATACAGATAGAATTCTGCATTATGCTATAACCATCCTATGACCCACAAAGTTAGCTGTATAAGAACGCTATTTAGACAGACTCCCATTGCAGCACAGCCAAAGCTAAAAGGGAAGAAAGAAACCATCTCTTCCAAATATGCAGACGCAATGGTTACCCTACAGGTTCATCAGACGCTGTAGTATACCACCCAAACCCTGGATGAGCCCAGATATGGAGGAACTCCCGTCACAGATAACCCGTGTCACCCTCCCTTACATCAGCAATGTTTCAGAAGCGACAGCCAGGTTGTTAGCCCCCCATAAAGTGAGGGTGGCTCACAGACCTGATCAAACTTTAAGATCCAAAGTGATGCGCCCAAAGGACCCGCTCCCCAACACTGAAAAATCGCAATCATATATAAAATCAACTGCAAAGATTGCCCTGTCAATTATGTTGGAGAGACTTCAAAAAGAATGAAGACTAGCGTCCATGAGCATAAATTAGCGGTAAAAAGGGGGGAACAGCACTCCCAAGTATGGGCGCACATGGCGGATTCTGGACATTGCTTTGACTTTGATAATGTATGTATCCTGTCCGGTGACAACACGAAAGAGGGCCGGTTACTAAAAGAGGCATGGCTCTCTGACAGGGACTCTGTCAACCGGCACATTGACTTGTGCCCGGCACATCTCACCTTAAGAGCATGGAGCACGCAAGATCGCCCACCCCTAAGGAGACACCCTGCGACAGTACCACATAACCCTAGGGAAGAAGTTATGGAGGGGATGAATTTTTGCCCCCCACAACAACAGCAACGGCCCATGGACATTCAGGAGAATAATCAACGATCGAGGGACTCCTCCCCCCCTGCTCCAGGACCATGCTCCCGGACAGTGAGAGAACGGTTGCATGATGAGAAAGAGGCAATTAGCCAATGAACAATCATTCCCGACTCCCCCGAAACCCAAAACAGCGATGATCCAGCAACATCGAGAAAGAAGGAGGATGGGACTGGCTTGCCCTGTGATGACAGTCCATCAACGGAAACAGCAGAGCGCCAATCGGAACGCCCGAGAGGATATAGAGATCGAGAGCAGTGTGAATAGGGGGGAAATGCAAATAAGGGTAGAACGTGATAGAAACTGTAAAAAATATCATTGTGTTGATGGAGGGAGGGACATAAAGGAATCAGGCATACGTATTCAAAAAAGGAGGGCACACAAGGACTTGTATGAAGAGGAAGGAGATATTCAAGGGATTCAATCTGACGCGGAGTCCGAGAACATTGATAATGGGGTGAAAGAGCAAGTAGATGTCAGATGGAATGGCAACGATAGAAACGGAGATTATGCAGCCAAAGGGAGGGAAATGGAAAGCAAGGGATGGGGAGAAAGGCTGAGAGTGCGCCCCCATAGAATGAGGGATGACAACTGGGGAGCAAGTAAAGATCAGAAGAAGGAGGAAGGTAGGAGACGCGGAGGTGTGAAGAGGGAACAACTTAGAGATACGAACGACCAAAAAAGGGGAGGAGAGAACCTCCCTAATCTAAGACAGTGGGAGGTAGAGGGGAACAATGACATACCCACAAGCAGTAAAAGCAAGAAAAGAGGAGTCATCAGCATGGAAGCCATAATTAAAAAGCAGTTAAATCAATTAGGACCTATGACAAGATCTAGGAGCCGTGTGCAAATGACGGCTCACCTATAAAGGCACTCTCCCATAGACCAGCATTAACCCTGACGATGTCAGAAGTATCTGACGAAAGCTTGGTGATCGGTGATGGTATTAAACTTTTATAGTTTATTATATTCCTGGTGTTCACGTTTTATTGGTAATTGACTTTAAGAAAACTGCAAATATTTATGTATTTATATCTATCAAATGTCTACACCACCCATCACACTTGTGCTATATTAAATATAACTAATTTCTATACTTAATAAGTTTTTATATGAAAACAACATGTAATGCCTTTTTTTTAAAAAGTATTTGTTATGAAACCATTAGAAGGAAGTCTAACCCTCTTTCAAGAATTAAAGTAACCACATC